TTCGTTATCTCCACATCTAACTGATGAGGAATTACGACAAACTCTCCACCCTTATCACTAACGGAAAGTCTTATGGTTTCCAACCTTATCAGGTCTCGTACCTCTCGCATACCACGTTTTTGCACTGGAGTGGAGTTGGAGCTGTATCTTTTCGCGCGATAGTGATTAAGGACTTTGAGAGTTTTATTCGCAAACATCCGAAATTTAACATCAACTTCATTATTGGGCTCTTGTTGTCTAAAGAACGTTGGGGGAAATGGTGCTATTGGTAGGGCCCCCACTTGATGTTGTTCGCACCTATTTAGCGCTTCATCTCTAGCTTTTTTGCGGAGTCTATTTTGAAGTTCATGTAAACCACATGCGACCCTACGCAAGGTTATCTTAGAAACGGGTTCAGATGGTGAGAAACTCGGCCCCAATTCTAATAACGAGCGCGCACCGTCAGGGAGAGTTATGCCTCCTAACACGGTTAGCCTTGAATTTTCTTGCACATTACTTATCCTAATGTGATCTGTTTGATGTTCTTTAGCGATATTTTAGCGAACACCTAGCCGGCAAAAATAGACCAAATACCCCGCTAGGCACACATAGGACCCAGAGACATAACGGGGACGACTTCGTAGTATGTGTCACGATCCTCGCACGCGAATCAAGAACACAGGCGCGAAAAACTCTCGAAGTACTCTGGATTAATTCCAGAAATCCGAAAATGAACCGCAGGGAAGAATGCCTCATTATCACGCGTGATATAGGGCAGTATATAAAACTGCTTTTCTGATGTGAGGGCACATTATACTTCCATTTGATTTCTGTGCGGTTGGTCTCTACGTGACATACTTAGTGGAAACCTCATAGAAAGCGGTGAGTGTGCAAAGCTGTGTTCAAAGTGTTTGAAATCTTGGTTTAGAGTTTCTTTGTTTGGTTATGGAGGCGTCTCGCCGAGTGAGTTGCTATCAACTTGACCTTTCCAGGCTCTGAAGAAGGCGAAATCCGCCGAAACGTCAGCTTAATCGTGAACAAAGAATAGTAACACCTCGCGTTTGCTCAACAAAAATACGAGGAAAATCCATTCTCAGAGTTGCATGTAAGAAATGTGTAAGCACATTGAGTCGGAACCTATGTACCAATGTAATCTGTATATTAGCCTGAGAAACGCTTGGAAACTTTTGGTTTTTTTCGTTTTCCTTTTTCGTAAAATATATAATGCTTATTAACACAACAGACTTAGTGCACTTTATGGGACAATAACATGAGATCCCTCGACCGGGTATTGTAAGCTATATGGAGGTGATTTTCTTCCTGGTAGTTTTTTTTAGCGCACAGAACCTACTTCCTATAGTTCATATTTAATCGGTAGCCTAACCGATACAGATGTTGTGGTGCGCGTCGGCTGGGAAAAACTCTGCTCTACACTTAGAACTTCTCGAACGAGTTCATTGATCGGTGACATGACTAGCATTTGACTCCTATTGCAGATCTGGTCACTAGAGTGAATCACAGCTATGTGCGGAATGGACGAGTATTTAAAAAAATATGGTCTTCTCAACGTAAGCTGCAAAAAACTTCCAAATTCCGGCAGCGATACGATAGACCACAGTACCGTGCAAGTGTACAGTAGTACACATTGCATTCATACCCATAGAGCGCTAGGGCAACGTTTCTTCTACATGTTCACATATTTCTGTAATGTTCGCAACGCATCAAGTCCTCTAGTCGAAGAACTGTCGCCGAGTTCCGGAGCGCGAGCACTCCCTTAGTGGAAAGCTGAAAGTTGCGCGTCGTCCCAAGCGGAAGGACTGCTAAACGCCGTACGTCGCGAATGTGTTAATGTCTGCTGAGAACATTGAAAATCCAAACATTTGTGTAAAGTGAGAGGTGAAATGAAACTAACTGCGCATTGTATTACATTCGTCGACAAGCTACATGTGTAAAGTTGCTTCTGAATGGAAAAATCCGATTGGTGAATTGTGCACTGGGTGAAGCTTCGCTGATATTCGCAGTCGTAGCGCAAAAGCTTAGAGTTTATTTTATGTCCCAGCACTGTCAGATGCATCCGAAGTAAGGACACATTATTGAATTTTTTTACACATGTCGTCGGTTTTTTCACAGGACTTCTTTTTACATTACATCACATGTTGCATGGATCATACCACTTCTTTCATTCTAATCTGTTCTCGCAGCTGTTACACATGGTTTTCGGATTCGCATGTAGATTTGGCTGTTTCTTGACGCATTTATCTTTATAAATAGCTTTTAGTATTTTATGGTGTCGATTCTCCGTGGAATTCTGGAATAGCTGCGTTTGGACGCTCCCAGGGTCTTTGGTGCAGATGGTCTCCAGCTTTGATGGATCGAAAGGAACAAATCTGGAACCTATTTACCGACCCCGGAAACATGAAAGCGTAGGAGGTCCACTGCTGTGTGGAACCAGCAACTCTACATATGTTATCTAGCGAAACCTCAAATTACTGCGCTTTCCGCGCCCCTCTGTCGACAGTTATGATAAATAGCTGAGGCATATTCCGTGTGGCTGGGAGGTGTTCTTGGATGTGGGACTGCTATGTACAGCGGGCGGATTCGTCCCCCCGGCAGGGTCTTCCAAGCTGAGAAGGAGTCCGGCGTTTCCATCAAGAAACTTAGCTAAGAGTAAACCAATACCAGGATCCACCACGGTTCCGGTATCAAAGTCGCATGGTGGTAAATCTCCCTCTGATCCACAAGAGCTACGACTGCATGTCGTGGTGACGACCTGGGACAAACTTTGACCAGGTTGTCCTCGGGATTCCAGGGAACCACAATGACTTCAACCAGCAAATCTCCGAAAAATAATGATTATTTTGGTGCCCGCACAACCAGTGATGACAGGCCGTTCAAGTATCAAGTATTAAGTAAATAAGTGAGACATATACACTATGTTTTTTTCTTCCTTTCCTTTCTTTCAGATGATCGTTTTTTACTTCGTAAATTTCTTATAACTCCACTATTTATCAAGTTTTCATTTGTAAACAGAGTCACATAGGCATTTACAACTAACATAACGAAGTGTTATTTTAAACAGAGCATGCACTGAAAATAAATTTCTTCTATTTACGTCCGGCATTCAAGAAGGTGTCGAGGCTGGGAAACGTGATCGCCTGTCCAGTGTTAACTCCAGCTCCCACAAAAGGAGAGCCAACACCAAAGTTGTGCACTACTTCGCCTTTTCTCCAGTTTTCACCCACATGGTCGTTGTGGCCATAGTATCCGCCAACCTTCAAACACACTTTAATTTTGCATCGTTCCATTTTAAGTTCAACTACACAATAGGATATCTCCCTTAAAAATAGTAACTAGCAATTTAATAAATAGGTCATCGTACTTCGAAAAATTCGCAACGATTCTGACTTTTCAATAACTGTTGTAATGGTTTGGTAATTAGGGTACGCTTTCTCTGCTCTGCAGTGCTTGCAAAGAATTCGAAAATTTCACTCAAAAGCTAAGCTAAGGGTCGTCTTATGCCTCAGATCGTCTAGTGGAGACCTGGGACTGCCTTAACTCTAGGATGTCGAGATTGCACGGAAAGAAAGTTTAACCAATAAACGAAATGTCAACCAACTTTAAAGGTTTAACGACCCAACCACTGGGTAAGAGGGCCATTGAAATGTACAACTAAGTCGCTGAAATAATATCTATTTTTCCTTTAAACGGCAGCTTAAACCGATGTTCGCTCGACGAGTGTTTCAGTGATATGTAATAAGCCGAAAAATTTACTATTTCCTTAATAGGTATAGCATGGTAATAAACAAGGATAGTCCGTTTTGTCCTATTGTATGACATATTAGAGAAAATTATCCGTGCAAATATCCCAGAGTGTATTAAAAGTGAATCTGATGCAATATAGATGAGTAAGGTACCCCGTATCCGTTGTCCACCATCACATTTCCGACATTCTGAGGATCCAGCGGGACAGATGCTGTGTTGTGCTGTCCGCCCTCCACACCCAGTGACTGCACCAACGGCACAGACCAGCCATTCTTATAACCATATTTTCCTTCGTACCAGTTACCACCGGCTTCTTGGTATTGGGACCAGTAGTCACTGGAAATAAGAAGCTCTGTTATTCCTGGAATAGAATGAATGGCATTGAGTGTTATACTTTAAGCTTCACAATGCCCTTTTGGCATCAGGAAGATTTTTAGGGCTTAAAACAAGAAATTCTTTAGCAGATCAGGCGACGAAAATTCCATGTTTGTTCGTCCAAACAGTACGTGGTTTAGGGGCAATGAGATGTTACGTTTTAAGGCTTTTCTTGTATTGTAATACTCTATTATAATAGTATTTTATGAGAAAACTTCCTTTTGATACTAACTAAAAACTATCACCAGAACCGAAACAGCGTTAGTGATGAACATTTAAAATACATATGCATATTGCCTTTCTTAATGCTGCAATATCAAAAATTGTATTACAGCATTTAACTCCGATGTATTGAGGAAGTTAATTATGCGGTTATTAGTTCAATGTAGAACATTCAAGGGATCTCCATCAGTTAAGGATCCCTAAACGGTTATTGGCTAGGCTAAGTGGCTCGTCTTTAGGTGACGGAAAGAAGTTTTGAATTTGGACCACAACCACCTAAGTGCTTACCTGAGCCGCAATAAATCCAGGCGATGCAGTACCTTTTCGACTGCGTCGACGAGACAAATACCTTCTATGTTTAGGTAGATGTGATCAGGCATCATGTTTGGGCGTGTTCTCGTTTATGCAAAATGCATTCATAGGTCTATTCGGCCAAAAGCTTGCAACCAGGTGATAGAAATAAATGAGAGATGGTCAGGACCCGCCTTTATCAAACAAGCTCAATGTTTATTTGAGGAGACTGCAGAGTTACTCACGAGTTTTGTTCAGCCCGAACATTGAAAGATCTACCAGCAATCATAGCTGTGTATCAACTGTCAAACAATAAAATCAATGGGCGTTATTCTTCTGATCGCGGAAGAGCCTTCGATACGCCAGCGTTGAGTAGAACCAGTTCGGAGGGGCTGCTAACTAAAATCTCGTCCATCCTAAGCTGCCTAAATCTTGCAGGACTAAGGTGACGATCTGCACCTACAATGTACTAATGCACACTTATTCGTATCCGAGTCCTCCACTGAGGACTGGTTCACGTAGGCTAAGAAGATTTGGAGATGCAATGTCGTCGAACTGCTCGTGACGGGCCGCCCATTTAACGCCATCTGTGATAGGAAAAGCAGTCCCTCGGAACATACGCAATACCGGAGTCGGTGTCATAGGCGTCCTCGTGAACAAACGTTTGGCCGTGACGGTCAGCTCCTTTAAACAACTAACAAGTTGAGTCGGACGCTTACGCCTATAGTTAAAGAAATTTCGACCGATACCGACTTCCACAACCTTCGTCGTCCCACACTTACATCAAATTATGAGGAATGAGAGATTAAAGCAGTACCGACTTAGAGCAGTTCCACACAGAAGACCATACTTTAATTAAGGTCAGCGTTGGGTAATGCTAAGGTTAACACTAAAGCTGGACTTAAGAGAGCGTCTTGAAAATGTGGAATTGACACCCACGATTTGAGATGCAGCGAAAGCGATGAGTGGCTGTATAAGTTTATAATGAGCAAGGTCATGATAACCTATAATTCTTGAAATTCCGCTCTCAATGCTCGACGTGGGAATCTTCCAATGGAGAATGCCATAATGAATCAGACAACATCATAGTAAATCGAAACTCTTGCCCACTGATGTCACTGTTATAGCAGCATTTTACACAAAATCGGACCATCATCCCTTTAAGACAAGATTCTTTTTTTTCGCGCAAAAGAAAAAATATCATAAAATTCAAGAAATAAGATGCAAAAACCTCTACAAATTGGGTTTCATTCACATCACTATTCAGCTTTTCGCAAGATGCCGTTATCGATAAAATCGATGAAGAATCCGACCGATTTATCCAACATCTTCACGTTGGCGCTATAAAAGCTGAGACTTCGTAAGTCAGAACGATACGTCCTCAGGAACATTATAGCTGATACGCCAACATGGAATGGCATGAACCGCAAGTAAACGCCATCTCACGTCTTCCGGGAAGGCAGTGGAGAAGACCATTCATAACTTCTACTCTGATATTTTTAATAGCTATATTGTTCTGCCTTCGCATGAAATCAAAGAGGACGGATATATCGACCTACCGGTTTTCCCCTCCGGAGTCTGAAATACCACTTCGTCAGTGCAAATGTGAACAACCGATTGGGGGAAGGTAAGATTTAAAATGTTTGAAGCACCGTCCACTAATCACTGAACTGATTCGCATCTTTACATGTTACCTGTCATAATGGAGAGTTCCTAATCAATGGGAAACAATCAAGAGTATGTCGTTGCACAAAAACGCAGACTTCCACGACTTCCTTGGCGTCTATAGGGAACTATCGCCTAATCTGCCTGCTGTTCGTCGTTTATAAACCCCTCACTCGAGTCGTCCTCAACTGGCTTAACAGAACACCAGAAATTGGACAGCCACGTGAGCAAATAGTGTTTCGAAAAGGGTTCTGTACGAAGAACCACATTTACACACGTGATAATGAGACTCAATGAACTTACGCGAGAGTATGAGAGGCCGCTCTATTTGACTTTCTCCGTCTTAAAAAAAATTTTTGACTCTGTTAAAACAGAAACGGTCATGGAGTGAGAGTCAGTGGTCGGCCATAACAACATCGCTTTTCTGGTAACATTATTCTTATAGCGTCAAGCATTGATCCGATGGAACGAGTTTCTTTTCTATGTCGAGAAGCTAATGTACGACTTAACTCCATAATTGAGCAGAGAGAATTTTTAAGAACATTGATAATGTATTGGAGAGAACAATTAATGCTTGACTCAATGCTGTATGTCTAAAACATGGCTATTACGTAGACAGATTGAAAGATCACAGCATTCTCAAACGCGCATTGGAAAGGGCAGTGCTCGGTGTCTGCCGCGTCAATGAATTTAAAAGCAAGAATCCGACATCCCGACCTACGTCAATGATAAAGAACAAGAAAGAAAAGCCGCTATGTGGACCAAAATACCTAAAATCGGGTGGGTGGGAGACATGACAGGTCGAAGCCACAATCAATGAATAAAAGCGGTCATCGACTGGATTCTACGGCATTTCAAGCGCAAAGCGGTAAAGGTTACCAACTCGATAGACAGATTTCTTTACGAAGATTTTGGAATAAATATATGGCACCTAGCGACTCCTTAAAGTAAGCAGAATCTCGTGGGATACTTTTGCACGCTGCAGGAACAAATGGAGACTTCACTAACGCCCGCTCTACTCTTCGTCGATCAACAGGACAACAGGTGATACAGTTAAGTACGAACAGAAGAGTTCGTATTAGTAAATAGTCCATTTCAGTTCCATTTGATCACTTTTCGTAACTTCGTGCGAGGTTTAATTTCCATAAGAATCTCCATCTTCATGTTTTGATAAGATTGATCTCTGAGATGACAGCAAATATAATGATTACCATCTATGTATGGACAAGTTTCTTATATGAGACGTACCGTATACCGACATGATCCGAATATCCGCCACCCCACGATCCAAATGGTATTCTTGACAGTACTCCAACTCCGACAGATCCTTCTTCATTAATTGGGTAATACGGTATCCCATTTACATCAACAGTTGCGAAATTCAGATCTACCTGAACACTATTGTGTGGTTGTATAAATTTTTGAAAGATATCGTTGTTCATAAATATTATATCGGCTCATTCGTCACCACTACCGTGCTAGAAAACAGACTTCAAAGTCATCGTTAATTTTCTGCTTTACTTAACATGCAACCTTGCGGTAAAGAATCATACACTACTCGATTAGACTGCGGCATTTATAGGAGAAACCTACCACCTGTTCCTGTCAACACTATAGTTCGAATTTCACACACAAGTAAGGCAGGGCTCAGTAGTACAAAGAAGAGAATTTTGTCAGAAACTGTTGCCTAGTCTACTTAATGTCTCTAGTTAACACCCTTTTTTCCCGCGTTCTAAGTAGTATTTTTAGAAGAATACTGAAAGGGAAGTTTTTGGAAAGGGTTTATTGAACCATATCCACACAATAAAACTCCTTGAAGCATCACGAGAGCGCAAGTGACCACATTTCATCACTTTCCATTGACTTAAAGACAGAAGTGGTCATGAAAGCACTGGATAGCAAACGCATCTTTGCTCCGTAAGCCCAGAATTTAAACTTTCTACAGCGATGTTATGCTATAACCCATATGAAGGGAATACCGTCACAAAGCGATACCATTTTGGCAAAACTGGGATATCATAAGAGTGAAAGCCGATAATTGGCGGATACACTTCATTCGCTTTGCTAATGAGGCCACTTCTTGTATCACCAAGCATTCGTTGAACGGAGCGCATGCTGACCGATTTCGAGCTCTCGACTAAGACTCAAAAAAATAGTAATTGTGAGGAAAGGACTATTTTCTCATAAGTTAATCTCACTCGACGGAACGAATTACAGAAAATCGTACAGCTATAACTCCTTGGCTTCACAGCTGAGCAGAAAAAAAAACGATTAGCTACATGCCAATCTCTCGGAACCACTGTTTTTTATTGGTTTACTGCGAACGTTAGAGAATTAAGGTAAAAGTTCCATCATTGTAATCGAATTAGTTATTGACAAGATGATACTAATTGTATCCACCCGTACGCGAAACTGAGAAAAGGGAGAAAGGGAATTTCCGACATACGCTGGCGGTCTGGGATCAGTGGCGGCCTCAAAACGTCAATATATCGAAAATCGGTTGCGTTAGAGACATCATGTATCTTAACGACGACCGTTTGCCAAAAGCTGTTTCCTTCTCATGCTATTTCAAGCGTGTAAGAGAATATTACAGAGGGCTGGTCAAACTTCTTATCGAAGACTGTGGTAAAGAAATATGATGCTCGTGTTATCCGCGGAGCAAACAGTGTGGGCAGCTCTGTCTCTATGCAGCTCTGGTATCTCAGTTATGAACGGAGAGCTAGGAGATATCCTCCCTCTTCAAATTGCCCGGCAACCATAGAGATTGTAGGTGATATTGATTGACACTGTCTGTATAACGAAGACGTCAAGGCTCACCGCTGAACTGAAAACATTTGCGATTGAATATAATGGGTCTGCAGGAGAAAAGAATCTGGAACAGTCCTTGAAGTAGGCTGCACAACGAGCAGCGTTCGTCTTGGTCAGCATGTTTTTTTGGCAATACTAAAATGTGATTTAATTAATTGGCATTGAATCCTATCTTAAACCTATTTCCTATAACAAGCCTTTGAATCTTTGAGCCCGACTATGTAGAATGCATACCTTCTGTGCAATTGGCGCTATTCGCATACATTTTGCTTGGAGTGCTCTTACATCGTCGCCAGTAAGTGCATGATCCTGCAGAAAACTTCCACAGTTTAATGTTGTCAGACGACTTTTCCACTTTAACTTCTATACACCTGGCTTTCTTTCCGTTGTTCCTGAAGTATTTGCTTGTTTAGTTCCGATAGTTCTTCATCCGTTCCTCTTTTCACATTTGTTCGCTTGTCACGTGTTGCCTGTTTTATAACTGGCACCGATTGAACAACTAAAACAATGGATTCACAATGTTTCTTGCTGTTGTACAGGAGGGATCTTTTTGCGAAAGTTGCAATTATTAATGAAGAAACAGATGAGGCTGTGAAGAGGGTTTAAGCATCTCATAAATATGTATTGTTACACCATGAAAGAAATTTTTGAGAATTGAGACCAATTTTTAGTTATGTTTTCTGCCATACTATTTTTTTCGACTATTATTTATTACTGTAAGCAACAGCTTCTTGTTTTCGTCTTCGGTGTTTTCGCCATACCAAGCCACGAGAACGGTTCATCTCACAGCTGGGCGTCTTCTCAAAGTCAAAATTACTACTACTCTTCCATCGAACGTATAAATGAGTAAATTTAACCGTCACTGATTGGCGGATTCTTCTTTAAGTCTATTTTTTCTACTAGAAGATTTATAACAATTTCTTAGATTTGAACACGGTTCTCATAATGACGTAGATTTCCCAGATTCTGCAAGAAGATAAATTGTCATTCCAACTTCTGAGGATAACATGCGAGTATTCGCATACAATCAGTTGGATTCTGAATATGTCGCATGCTTCTATCTGTCGAAGACTCGAAGGATACTTTACTATTCCAGATTTTTGAATAGTCTGATGCTTCCAAGCCACAATTTTGAAAATTATTCACTCAAAACAACCCAATTCACAACGAATGGGCGTTCTATAAAGGATGTGGTTTATCTAAAAACCTAGAAATGACGCATTCTGTTCCATCTAACACAAGCCACGGTGGATTTGTTATCTATTGAACGATATGGTTTATCAAAAACAAAACAGGTATAGGTGAGGATCCTGAATAGGAATAGGAGTGAAACTTTCCGCAATTGAAATATGACACAGACCTTTCTTCTTGGTGGAATGGATAGGAAAAGTGAAGGACGAGAGAGGAAGGAGAGGAAAGAAGTGATGGGAAAGACAAAGATGAAAAATATAAAAAGAGAGAAGAGGAAAGGTGGATAAAGAACAGATACGTCATGAGTAAGGGTAGAGCATCTTACGCCGCAAGTTCTTCTTGATTCGATGGCAGAACGCCAAATTCGGATTTCGCTCACACGCTGCTCTTGTAAGATATTCTCGATCTCCTAGCGCTTCTGAATCACAGAGTTTTACATAAATTACAAAGAGTCACTACATATTTCCATCTAGGAAAACTCACCATTAACTTGTAGCATGAACGGCACACATAATAAATTGATCAGCGCCCTCATAATTACGTGATAGTGGAGGCCGACTAAGGAAAGTAAGAGTAGCAGGATTTGTGGACAAACTAAAAATTGAAAAAGCTACAATACAGTAAGAATAAAGTGACATTTCATGGGATACTGTATTAATAACGCATGAGTACTTTCTCATGCGACATTATCATCTACGTAACAGTGTTTATCTCATAACAGAGTTACACCACCTAAAAATGACATAGATGTTTTCATCCGAAAGACCAGATAAAAATAAATCTGTGCTAGGAATCACCGACGTTGCAAAGGAAACCTAGTCACAAGAAGGAAAGCGTTGCAGAAGGTGCCAATACTGAGTGGTGAGGAGTTCGAAAGGCCTCCCAAACCTTTCCCAGGACACAATGGAAAATCCAGCATTATAAAGAACGCCAGCAAATGAAAACAACAACTTTCATTTTCTGATTTTTTAGTTGCTCTTCAGGAATTCGATTCAATTAAGTTATATGTTAGGGAAATGCACTAACCAGACGAAGTAGTGATCTTTTACATCGAAAGTCAACAAAAGTACATACATTGCAGTTTTAACTAGAACTAAAGTAGGTAAGGCACTGTTAAGTAGCTGTTAAAGGCACTTGATCTTGCAAATGAGACTGTACGATTGACGGCATGTTTATGAATTACACTGTCGACTCAAAACATCACCTGATGGCTTCCCACCTGCCAATTGCCATCTCCCACGGAAATCCCGTTTCAGCAAAATTCAAGGTCTTTTCCATTGCTTCGTATATCCCATATTTGTTAACACGCTTGGGATTCGTAGAAAGCGAAGATCGTCGGTAAACGTCTGCAAAGGCGATAAACAAAAGCGGAAGAGGCGGAGATGAATCCATTGTGAAGTACCATTTTTCGTAACCCCAGTGCAAACAGTTCTTATACTTATAGTGACCTCTCATATGTCTGTCTAACGTTTTTGGTATGAAATCGATTAGTCTACGAATACTATGTAAACATAGGTTTCTTTATTGTAACATAGTGAAGTACTCATTCTCTCGAACTCAACGAAGCCTCTTTTTTCCAGCTATTTTTGTCACTTCCCTTGAGTAGCGAAACGGCTGAAGAATCAGTGTTTTGCTTAGCAGAACACAGTGATTTACCCGAATTGAGGTTGATATCTTTTGTCTTCGGGTTAGGAATTCCATGTGTTTTCTAATATCTACTTTTTAAAGTTAAAATTCTTTCTGAATTTCTGAACATAAGAATTCTTTTCTGAATTAGTGACCATTTCAAGGGTTAGAGTACGGAAAAAAAAGTCGGATAACTGGATGGAGCACTACGATACCAGTGAAGCTTCTGAGACAAACCTGCACGAGGAAAAAGAGAAAAGAAGGAAATGAAAGTCTTTCTGGCATAAATCTTTGCCATAAAAATGACAAAAAGGCATGAAACATTCGTATTTTCCTCGACTTTGCTCAGTACCTTTTAAGACAATGGAATGGGAGATCCTTGGAATAGAAAAGAAGAACTCCTTAACAAAGGGCTAAAAACATTACTAGCAAATTAGCTTTCGCCGTTTCCAGTTTTTCCATATTACATATATTAGCTGTTTAAAAAGTGCACGTATACTTGCTGAAGCATGGAAATTTAGTGCTTATTTTGAAGAAATGAATAGTCCTCACCCCAGAATGTTGAGCGCGTGAAGGTAAAATTCGTGGTGCTATCGAATTTCGTTAGGAGTGGCAAGAATGGGAATGTAAATAGTAAGATTAAACTGTCAGTTCGATGAAGAATTCGGCGTCAAATCTCCATGGGAAATCTTTTGTTCTAGTAGAACACATTTTCCTTTGTGTCTCTTCAGATTTCATGTAGCGTGAGGAACCGTCTTGGCTTCAAATGTTCCCTTGTTCGAAACTATTTAACAAGCAATAAACTGACATTTTATTTAAAATTTGATTTCTTAAAAGTGGTTGTTCCTGGACAAAAACGTACTCTATGGATGTGCTACTGAGAGAATTTTGACAATGCTTTATATCATTAGTTTTTAATTTCGCTTATTGAGATTGCATGGTAAAATGCGTTGATCAGTCCCTGAGGGTTGCACCATGCATTCGACTTAATAAAGCATTGTTGGAGGTGACTGAATGCATCTCTGGCCTTTACAATGACTCGCGGTGGCCTACCGATGTATCGAGCCAGTGCTGCTATCCTCCCAGATAAGTTTGGTACCAATTCGCCGACCCCGGAGTGATGGAAGGCTTGATGGGTTATGGGTGCGAGGATCGATCCCACGTGTGTCGCAGTGGCGCCTCCAACCACTGCGCCACATGCGCGCCGTTTTTGAAAATTATAAGACAAAAACAATATTTTGTAAGCATTCTCGCCGTTCTTGTAATTTTATACCATACATAATAAAACAAGAAGAACCGTGGATTTGAGGATGTCTGGAACTGGTTGTTCTCTGTCCTCTTCAATACATCATGGATGCTCTTTTGTGCTCTCCAAATCGTTCTATTCTTCGTGTTTAGCTCGCATGCTGATTAGGAGGAAATCGTTAGGCTGAGGGATGAACCACATAAACAAATCCCTTCCTCATAAGTATCATTGTTATGGTTATCGATGTTGCAGCAGGGAGTGATACATCCTATGAGTTAAGCCGCAATATTCTCAAGTCACTGTATTTATCGAAGAGCTATTGATGGTTATCAAGAAACGAGCATTCTGAATGCAAGAGTAAGATTTTAATGAAACAAATTCACCAACTACAAAGCCATGAGGATTAGGAATGTAGGCTTTCTACGCTCCCGCTAACGATCAAAGCTGTAAACAGACAATTGTACATTTCCACAATGATGCTGAGATATTTACAAAACTCGGTACAGCTGGTGTATGCGGTGAGGACTGAACACATTACTCTTTCCGGAGGCTAACGCGTTCATCACCACACCGTGCGAACCCTTCATTTCATCTTTCTCTCAGCCGTACTATTCACCTATAGATGCTATCAGCAACTGCCCAAATAACACGGCTGAGAGAAAGGCAAAACGAATGGTTCGAATGGTGTAGTGGCGAATGCGTTGGCCCCAAAAAAGGTCAAAAAAAATATCTCAGCACCATGCTTATATTTCACACAGTACCCTGCCATTAAACAAAAGAGGCAATGAATAAGAAGTAACGATATTGTGATTTACACCACACCTTCAACTTAACTGGGTTCAGTGCCGATTTCCGCTCTCCAGATCAATTCTGTTGACAGGTAATTGCTGATAGCACGTATAGGTCAATAACACGGCTGAGAGAAATGCGAAGCAAAAGACCCGTATGGCATGATGGTGAACACGTTAGCTCCCGAAAAAGGTAGTGGCATGTTCGGTCCCCATCGCAGAGACCAGCGGTCCGGAGTTTTGCAAATATCTCAGTATCGTTACGTTTATATTTCACACAATACCCGGCCATTAAAAGAGAGTAGGCAGCAAATAGAAAATGACGACTTTGTATGATTCGTCGTGGAATTGTACTTGCAACTCCTTCTAAGCCTACATTTTTCACCGAGTATGACCGCATTTGAAATGTAGCTTTGTAGTCTTTAAAACAGCAAACCAAGAATTTTGATTCAATGACTGTCTGCTTTTTATTTAGGATCTAGAAAGTATTAAGCCCGTACACCATCTCCATATATTTATATGTATCATAACATCATACTAGTATTTTCTATGTACAAAGTGCGGATGTTTTTCTGACGTTATGATCTTTAAATCATCTTCATCGGCCTTCCATTTACTGTAAACCTGCAAAACAAAGGTCTGCGTAAATATATTAAAATCCTAACATAACTTCAGATAGAAACCTTGAAAACATCGTGACCGATCGTCTCGGTGTCCCACAATTCTTGCCCACGGGGAAGACGTTTGTTCACACCACGTTTAAGTCCTGAAAATAATTAAGGCACACATTCATTTAACCTCAGGATAAAGTGGTCATGAGGAAAGTTTTCATAAACGATGTACGTATGTAGTGCATAACTTGTTGTCTCTAGGGCAACCACGAAATCTCCGAACCTGGACGGTAGTCGCCGCCGATTGACATTTCTTCGACCATTGAAAGGATCTGATGTTTTGACCTCCAAGACACACGTTTCTTTCTATGACGCAACCAAGTATATCTACAAAATAAAAAATATCATATTTGCATAGTAGTAAAGAAGAATCAGAACGGAATTGAAAAGCGTCACAGAAACATGGATGTCTGACAAAGCGGTCATCTTGACCTTTACATGCTCTGAGGAAGGCGAAACCCGCAGAAACGTCAGCTCACTAGTAAATATGGAATAAAATAACACCTCGTGTTTGCTGAGCAAGAATATAAAGAATAATTTGATAAATGCCGTGTTGGAAATTTTCAAAATCTAAATTTTCGTTCCAACTAGCTTTTCAGAGTATAGTCCCAGCACGTCTTTAAACACACTTCTGAAGATTATGCACACTTTTAAAAAAAAGAAAAACCTCTCTTGTAAGTATATCAAGTTCTTGAACTCCTCAACTAGCCCAGCTCTCGTGAGACGAAGCCGCGCTTCAACCAAAAAAAGCGTCTTGTGGGATTCAGAAAATCGGAATCCAGTTTTTGTACAGTAAGAGGATATTTTCAGATTTCCTCTCGCACACCCCACCTATTTCTGAGGCTTCTAGGCAAGGATCTGTACCTTCTAATAGTTCCTACTGCAATTATTAGAGTTCAACATAAGTTGGAGCATAGTAATTCAATGTTGAAAGCAGCAAATTAAACCAGTGTTCATTGTCGCAGATGTGTTAAAAAAGATAAAATCAAGATAATAACGAATTGACTTACTCTCCAACAACGAAGGGATCACACTCTGTATACGTCCTATGAAGGAAGTATTTAATTTGCGGATTTTTCTCCCTAAAACAGAGACTGAATAGGCAGTCGGAATTTCATCGTGAACGTTCACACAAACCCCGAATGCATTATAAGATATAAAACGCTAAATAAAGGACAAAGCTCTTGGAGCCGACCAATCCCTGAGGGATGTATTCGACTGACCAATCCCTGAAGGATGTATTCGACTATGCATCGTTGGAGGTGAATGAATGCATATCTGGCCTTTATGATGACTCGCGGTGACCTAACGATGTATCAAGTCAGTGCTGCTATCCTCCCAGGCAATCCTGGTGCCAATTTTGCCGACCCCGGAGACATAAAAGGCTTGGTGAGCCTGGAGCGCGGGGATCGATCCCATGTCTATTGCAGCGCGCCTCCAACCACAACGCTGCGGCATTACAAGGTATATAAGGAATAATACTACAGTGTGGAATAATTTTAGCAGCAACAGTTGTTAGAACAGGTAAATACTAAATATAGACAGTAATTCACATTACTGTGTAATGAAACTACAACTACTCATTTCTGAGCTAATTTATTAAGGAATTAACATACCGTATTAAAGGCAAGTACTCCTCAACGAACTGCTCCATTCCCTCACTCCGCAGCGAATTTTGTGTCCAGCTTAGCCGAAGCGCGACGAAATTCGGGACAAACCTTATTAATGATGCCGTCACGCCATTTTGAGGGCGAAAGACAGCATTTGCTCCAATGGACATACTACCTGAAAAGTAGCGCATGTGAATGTTTACATATAATCATCCAACGGTTCACTGCTTTAATGTGGCTGTGGTTGTCCATAGGTGGTGAAATACGATCTATAGCGGAGATTCACCTCTTCCGCAGGATAACTTAAACTAAGGAGTTTCGTAGTTTCAACCAGGAACCCAAACAAACGAAAACCTTTGCCATGCTAGCGTCCAATGTGCTAGGTACTGGTGGCTATCTTCCTCTCAAAAACAGTGATCGACCACCATACTAATAAGGTGATAATCATACAAGACAGATTGAACAAAACCCTGTGACCTAGTGAAGCGACGTCTTTCCGCTCCCGCTGACTTGTCCTGTAGAAGTCAGGTTTTCTAACTTCACAATCGGTCCAGGTAATTCGAAACTGTCACTCTACTATCTTTAATTATTCAGTAAAACCTCCAATCGTTGTGTATTGATCGGATATAAACAATCTCTTTAAACGGTTAAGAGTGCATATGGTCATGTTAATAATCGCGAGTACGATGCTGTTTCGACCACGCACCGAGCTCACCAAGCCCCTCCTCTCTCCGAGGTCAGGACTTTGCACCAAACTTGCACGGTAAAAACCACTCCGGGCAATCCAGTTGGGAACGCTCGAGCCCGGCTATTCCAGGGCTCCAGGGAGAATTGCTCGACTACCATTCTACAACATTCAAAATGAAATGAAAATCCTTAAGCAGTATCCGAAGCCACACGTAAAAGTTGCGAGACCTTAGTGGATTATGGATGCGATGAAACGAGCCGAATGCGAGAAGTGCTGGTATCTGCACAGTAGATGTGAAAGACAAGTCATTAAAAAAACATATTGAACATCTATGAACAGATAAGTACTCAACCAATAAAAAGTTCGAAAACCTACAACAATGCAGAATCCGACATTTTATGATCCTGATGAATTCTAGGTCACGATGCTGGCTTCATACTACTCAATCTTCCCATTTCTCCTGGATCGAGAAATTGGTGCCAAACTTGTCTGAGGTCGGCCTATTCCCTCCAATTCGTAAGAGGAACCCTCTAGCTTGGCTATCGCGAAAATCCTCAAGCAGCAGCCGAACCCAGACGAAAAGTGTGAAAAACCTTTTTGGATGATGTATGCGAGGAAACGAACTGTATGCAAGAAGTCCGGAGATCAGCACAGATGTGAAGATGGCTCTTATAAAATAAGAATAGATAAAAAATGATTCTACATGAAACAAAATCTCTCCTACAAAATGTTCTCGGATAAAGTTGCTACATTTGCATCGATGTTGATTAACATCTCGGAGACTTAAAACCCTCAAAATTTCTTTTCTTGTGATTTTGTACACAGGTTAGTTTGAAACTCTGTCCAAATATCGTTTAAAAGACGTCATTTAGAAGTAAATGCGAAAATAAAATGTCAGCAACCACTCGTATTATATATATATATATATATATATATATATATATATATATATACGTGTATATGTGTATATATGTATATATACATGTTTATATAGGCATATACACACATGTATACATATATATATATATATATATATATATATATAATACGAGTGGTTGCTGACATTTTATTTTCGCATTTACTTCTAAATGACGTCTTTTAAACGATATTTGGACAGAGTTTCAAACTAACCTGTGTACANTGTACACAGGTTAGTTTGAAACTCTGTCCAAATATCGTTTAAAAGACGTCATTTAGAAGTAAATGCGAAAATAAAATGTCAGCAACCACTCGTATTATATATATATATATATATATATATATATATATATGTATACATGTGTGTATATGCCTATATAAACATGTATATATACATATATACACATATACACGTATATATATACATATATATATATATATATATATATATATAACTATAACAAGGGGCGCGCATAACGCAATGGTCGAAAGCACCCTGCAATACATATGAGATCGATCCCCAAGCCCAAACCCAACAAAGCCTCCACCCCTCCGTGGTCGACAAAGTGGTACCAGACTTGTCTAGGAGGATAGCAGCACTGGCTTGATACATCGGTAGGCCACTGTGAGCCATTGTAAAGGCCAGATATGTATTAAAGCATCTCCGAAGATTCCTAAATGAAGTCGAATCCATGCCCCATCCCTCAGGGATTGATCAAATTCGAGAGCCTTACTCTTTACATATAATATACATGTGTATATAATATACATATGTATATACGAATATATATACGGGCTAGGAGACAGCGAAATCATATCTTTTTTTCATAACCTCGTGTGAGCTTACCAATGAAGGAAGTGGGTATTGATCAACGATACGGAGGCTAAACGAGAGTCGATTTAAAAAGAATATCACTCCATTGCATGCAACTCAATCTAATGCCGACTGCTCCAGGATGGATTGTCTGTTAGAGTCATCAGCAGCGGACGATCATTGTCATCAACAACCGTCCTGGACAAAAGAACATTGCTAGGTGAGGTTGCTCATCAGAGCGGTGTTCTCTCCGCCCATTCGACGAGCATTAGTCCCGAAGAGGACGAAGAAGTCGAAAGGTAGGCCGAATAATGTTTTCAAACAACTTCATTGAACGCCTATCAATAGAGCGAATAGATATTGATTAGAAGACTACCTTAGGATGCCTGCTGTGCAACACTGCCCTATGACCAACCACGATGGGGTGGCAAACCATTGGTATTCTTGCTTTTCACCTCTTTCTCTCCATTCTCTCTCTCTCACTCGTTATAAATAAATAAGTATATATGTGTGGTTACGATAAAATGGAGAAAACCATTTTCCAAGCAACATAAAATCACACAGTACAGTCCATCTAAAGTCAATTCTGCATGACCATCGCAACACTAAGCAACGAAACATATGGGATGAGCTGAGAGATTACATATGTAAAGAAAATACGTAATGTATACAACAGAAGTGCAAAAAGGGTCACAGCAATCTATGGCTTTGCACAAAAGGCCTAAATAACTATTGCTTTTCCATTATATCTCTGATATTACGATAAGTCATAGTATCTTCAGGCATCTCTTCTCCAAGTTCCTTCAGTAAAGCAGCACGAAGTTTCTTATACGTCTCAACTTTACCGTTAACCTGAAACTCGGATGAGTACTTACGGAAGACGAAAACCTGCGCTAAGAATCAGAACTCGAATACTTGGACGTCCCGTCCTCACTCGTGCGGACTCCAGCTTAATCTCCATTATTCGGAGTTTAGCTGGCTTAGCTATCGTGTTGCCCTGAAATCCCGAGGCCAGCTTAGCCAAAGTACGCTCCAGGTCGTCACCACTACAGGCACTCGCAGCCCTTGTGGATCAGAGGGAAATTTGCTACTATGCGACTATTTTGATACCAGGACGGTGGTCGATGCTGGCATTGGTTTACTCTTAGCTAGGTTTCCTGATGGAAAAACCGGACTCTTTCTTAGCTTAGAAGACCCTGCCACGGAGATGAATGCCCCTCTGTACACCGCAACCCGACACCCAGGAACACCTCCAGACCACGATGAGACGGTCAACAGTTGGGAGGAGAATCAGAAGTCTAACAAACTACATTGGACGTCTATTTAAATCATAAGAAAGTGGCAATTGAAGAAATACAAGGCAATTACCTCTTTATTTTTCAATAGGGTCCTTTCCAGAACTTCCTTTGTGTATAATTGCGGGTTTTTCCCTTGGTCTAAAACATCCAGTAATTCCAATGGAACTTTGACGTCCATGAACTGACTTCGCATTTGATCTAGTTCCTGATAAAATAAGATTGAAATCGCTAAGCGTATACAAAAACGTCCAAATAAGTAAATTAAAAGAAACATGATAACAATGGCTAATAGCGAACCAAACGTACCTGCAGACCAGAGACTAAAGTGTGTATCTTTTGATTGAAGGGTTCTTGACTTCTGGCGCCAAAATCAGTGGCAATAACTCCCAAGTGTCGAGCATTCTCCTGAACTTTACATAGCACATGAAGAAGAACTTTTAAAAAAACGTTTCAACCATTTATATTCTAGCGGAAGAGCAAGAATAAACTTGCAGTGCCACTTGTTACATATTTGTCCTACACTGTATTTCCATCAGTTACTAGTGTTAATTCAACTTTGTGCTATGCACAGACATTAAAATCCTATAAGGAAACCCCTGCTACCGGTGATAACAAAATTGGAGAAACATTAGTAGTGCGACTGACACATTGGAGACAACATGAATTTCAGGTTGCTTCTTTATTTCATAGCGCTCTATTGTCTTCATGTTTAGTCAACAATCTCCGTATCAAAGATGTTGTAGCGTTACTGCTAAAATTCAGATTGACAAAAATACTATACAAACTCTTGTGGTCGGGCAGAGTGCTAAGATATCTCTGCTGGGCAAATACAAATACGCTACTATTACCACTTTTTCTTTCTTAAAGTACATTTAAAGTAACGTACGAGACTGTTAATGGACCGTAGTTGGACTGACTAACGATGGCTGAATAATGATTAATGAATGAATAACGGCTAACGACTGAATAATGAGGACTGTAGTTGATGTTTCAGACTCGGAGGCACTATGGTCGGTATGAATTGATATCAAATGATAGAACATACGGCCATGAATTAGGCGTCGTCAGGCGCTAGCTAGCAAATTAGGCACCGCTGTGAATGTCTTAAACAACTTAAAATAATGACGGATAACGCAACTGAAAGAAGTAGACAAGTGATGGAACATGAACTGAGAAAAATAATTCAATTGCTAAACCTAATTGATGACTACCTGGAACTGTTCAAGAATCCTTTCCAGCTGATTAAATCGTGATTCACCTGAATCAGAAATTATTTGGGGGTGAGGAAGATTCGACTGCAAACTCTCCATCAGTCGTAGCTGAAGAACTCATGAAAGCGTGCTAACAAAGAAAATAAAAAAAAATATCAAGATATCTGTACAAGATAATGTTTTATGAGGAAGCAGACAATGGGAAAAACATTCATTTTAATAGAAAAAATCCACTTCATTTCGTTCTATGAAGTGGATGCGAACTGAGAATACAACAATACAGTACAATCCAACCATCATCGTTTCAACCACAGACGAGTTAACAAACACGAGAAGAAAAATTATGAAACTATCACTTTCCCTCCTGACTTTCGCGCAATTTATCACCTTCTGTGTTCAAACATTCCTTCTGAACTTCAGCTACGTCGATTTCGAAGGGTTTATCAGCTGCCAGTCGCTAAAACTATCCAACATGTATAATGACGCTGAGACCTTCGTAAAACTTCGGACCGCTGTTGCCTGCAGTGGGAACCGAACACACTACTACCCCTTCCGGGTGCTACCGCGTTCACCACCACACCATGCGAATCCTTCGTTTCGCCTTTCTCTCAACCAAGTTATTGAGGTGATTGCTGACAGCATCTGTAGATCAATGACACGGATGAGAGAAAGGCGAACCGAAAGACTCGCATAGTGTAGTGTTGAACGCGTCAGTCACGGAAAGGGTAATAGCGTGTTCATTACCATTTCATTTTCCAATAGACACTAACTAAAAAGTGGCTAAGAAACGAACCGAACCACAAACCTGCTCAACACAATCCCGATATATCCGATGGAGCCGGTCACAAGGATTCACTGTGTAGCTGTGACGATAACTTGATGCGATGAATTTTTGAAAAAAGTCGGTGAAGCATTTGTCGTAATCCTAAACGATGAGTTGTACTACACTTACAAGACATCCATAGCCACAAAGAACTGAAGAATCGATATCGCAGTAAGTCCTTATCGATATTTACCCTCATAACAAGCACATATGGGGTAGACTTGGGCCAAGCTGACCTCGGGACTCCATGGCTAAGCCAGCAAAACTCCAAAGAAATGAAAATTGTGCTAGGGCCAGCACAACCAACGAAGATGTGCCATCCCAAGTAAGTGCCCAAGTACGTAACAACCACGTGTGAGCTCAGCAACGGCTTTAGGAGGAAGCATTTGCGAACGATTTCGCAAATTTTGAACATTATCCTGATAGTGCGGTAGAAGAAAAGTTACGAAACAACAATGTGCTTACAAAAAAAAAATCAGAGGAGCCATAGCTTTAGTAAAAACAATACGCGATCCATATTAAGCAACAACCCACCACACACCTGCTTCAGTTGATCGCACTCAGGAAAAATACTAGGCATTCGACGGTCGCCCATCCTCCTACGAGCTGGAGCTATTCCTACGACTCCTCCAGGTCTAGAACCACTTGGCACTGTCCTAATTTGACACGACAGCCATCCTAAGCTTTACCCAAATAAGTCAATCACCCTTGCCGCTGCGCAGCGGATTTTAACTGGAGCACGTTATCTGAGGCATAGTCTGCCATGTGGCCTAGGTGAAGGTTACGATCCTTACGTTTAGGAAAGTTTACTATCACTTTGAGGACTTCACATCGTTTTTTGTTGATAACTCAAGGACAACCTTTCATGGTGAAAAAAGTTGAAATAGAAAAGTGCTACTGCACTGCAGTTTATTCTCTTAGACTCTCCGGAGATTAATGTCTCGTATTTTACGTATTTTCAAAGTGGTATATATCAGTTCACCATGACCTTTATTAATCGAAATGGAAACCATTGTGAGAAACAAGTTTATTTCTATCATTTGCTCGAAATTCTAGACTGCTGGGGATGATGAAATCGTTTAAGGCAATTTCGTCCGCGGCTTGGTTTTTGGACAATTTCTCGTCGAGAAGTGTCGTGGTGCGTTATGAAATGATAGCCGATAGGTGAGAGGTCCGGAGAGTATCGTGTGTAAGAAATGGTTTCGTAGCTCAGCCCGTTCAGTATCCTAAGCGTCGCTAGTGCAACGAGTGGCGGCACGTCGTCGTGGGGAAAGATTGCTCTGTTTCTGTTGACCAACCCGAGACGTAGTGGTTGAAGCTTCTGGTGCGATTCGTTGACTTGCTGGACGTACTTCTCCACCGTGATAGGTAAATCTGGGTACAAGAAGATGTGATGGATCAAACCATTTGGAGACCACCAGTGGACCAGCATGACCTCTTGGAGCAATTTTGGATTTGGAAGGTAGTGAGGCGCTTCATCATGGTCCGATCACTGAGCCAATCGTCGCAGGTTGTCGTAGAAAACCCAATTCTTGTCGCATGCCACAATATGGTTGATAAACGGATTGTTCTGGTTGTGCAGAAGACAGGCTAGGAGACAGGTGAGATGCTCACAACGAGACCCTCTGCAAGATCTTGAACACCTATGCATCTGCTTGCTTCTACTAAAGCCTTCAATCCGTTGTCGTCAAGAGTTGAAAGACGTCGGCAACCTACCTCATTTTCGGGATCGAATTCGCCACGATGCTTTCGTTAATGCTTCCTTGGCTTTATACCTCATTAATGTTTAGTCCTTTGCACGTCCGCGTTTGAATTCGTAGAGTAGACTTGTCGAAATTGTTGTTTTGCCATCCAAAATTCTAACTTTTGAAATTTTCAGAAAACGCAATTTATATTATAATTCAATAAATTATACGGAGCGAACTTGCCAACTGTAAACCGTCTTATCGTGGCTGGGAGGTGTTCCAGGGTGTCGGGATGCGATGTACACCGGAACGGTTTATCCCCAAGCAGGGCTCCTAAAGTGGATAGGAATTTGGTGTTTATATCAGGAAGCTCAGCTAAGAGTTAACCAATTCTAGGATTCACCACTTTCCTGGTATCAAACTAGTTGCATGGCGGCAAATCTCCCTCTGATCCACAAGAGTCGCGACTGCCTGTGGTGGTGACGACCTGTGGCAAACATTGGCCCAACTGTCCTAGGGACTCCAGGGAACCAATATGGCTAAACCAACAAACCTCCGAAAAAATGGAGATTATGCTGGGGACCGCATAACCAGTAAAGACGGGCCGTTCAAGTATCAGGTAAGTAAGTTCACTATTTTTTTCAGTCGCTATGATGAGTTGTGGTTATCACATGGAATGGGTAGGTATAATAAACACCAATACTAACTCAATATGTTACAAAATGCTTAACTATGCTAATAAGAATGTATCCTACCAAAGGTTTACCGCCTTATTGTGGGTGGAGGTGTCCCTGGGTGTCGAGCTGTGATGTACAGCGGGGAGATTCATCCTTCCGGCAGGATCTCCATGGCTGAGAGGGAGTCCAGCGTTTCCATAAGGAAGCCCAGCTAAGAGTAAACCAGTACTTGAACCAACGACTGTCCTGGTATTAAAGTCTCATGGTGGCAAATCTTCCTCTGATCCACAAGGGCGGCGACTGTCTGTAACGGTGAGACCTGGAGCAGACTTTGGCCAGCCTGTCTGTCCTTGGGACTCCGGGAACCACAATGTGTAAACCAACAAGTTTCCAGAGAATGAAAATTATGATGGGGCCCGCATAACCAGTGGAGACAGGCCATCCAAGCATCCAAGTAAGTATCAAAGTAATAAGAATGTATTTGTCTAATGTACAATACTAACGTGCAGTTTCCAATGTACATATTTATGCACACAGTAAAACAATGCTTCTCTGATGCTGTCACGTTCTCAACCCCTCTACTACTCATCAAAAAATTATAGCACACCTTCGAAAAACTAACATTGTTCATTATTTGTACTGTTTTAATCGCAGGGTGCATGAAATTAGCCATTGTAGGACACTGGAATCATAGAAAATTGAACGTCGGGTGCTACGTATTAGATACAGCCACTTCCAAGCTCTCGTTTTTTTAAAATTTCTTACGGTGATGGGTAGCGCAGTTGCAGTGATGTTCGCTCATGACGACCAAGTACCAACCAACCCAGATTCTGGTTCCACTATTCGTGGGGCCTACCATGCTTCCCATCTCTTTTCCGTCGGAGAACTGGTACCAGACTTGTCTGCATCAGGCCACTAGTTCCAAGGAATAGTAGAACGCCCGAGCATGGCTAATAATGAATTCGAAAACTGACTAGGATTGATTGCAGCATTCTAGAATTGTCTCGACGAATATTAAATAGCATTCATGATGAGGTTGAGAAATCTTCAAGCGGTAGCCGAACCCACACTCAAAACTTTCGAACAGCTTCGTGGACGCTAGATACGAGGAAACGATTCGAATGAAACTCTTGACAATCATACGATATATGATGCGGATTCATTTTAAATAACTCATAAGTTGGTTGATGATCTCGTTCGGAACAAAGAAAGCGTGTGCGTTGATGGGAGTTCTTCTTTCGTCAACGACATCATCTTCTTTACGAAGAGTGTCAGTGTAGCTGAGAAAGAGACTAGCGAGGTGGGAAAAGGGATACTTCTGCGTGTAGATCGAAGAAAACCTATTTCATTAAAACGTCATGTCTACTTCCAGTATTTACCACCTAACGCCCGATTGAGGTTTTTCAGCAATTGGCAATAACTTATTCATCACTGGGGTATTCGAGAAGTTGATGACTACAAAGGAACTTTGTACCATTGCATCTTAGTACATAGTTTTTGTGCGACATTCTTTCAATTTCAAACACGTTTCGATTTCAAATTTCTAAAAAAATGAAAGCGGAATTAAGTGTATAAAATTTCCAAGGCGGCAGCTGCAAACGTAAGCTTGGGGAAAATCATCGTGTCCTTCTGTGCGGAATCCTACTCGTTCGTTCGCTTTCGTGTTCGAAGTATAAACCTTGGAGCAGTAAAGTGGAAGAACTAAGTGCCAAGGGATTCCTAAAACCGTTGCAGAATGGCAGAATAAGATGGCTCGTATCTTACAGAGCTCTGTATATTCTAATGGTTCCCGTTTTAACTAAAAAGAAAAAACTGACATAAGCTGAGAGATGTTCGTTTGAAATCGAAGGCGGTCGTTATTTTCTCATCAAATGCACTGCATCTCGGCAGTTGTGTGTTAAAGAACATGGAAAACAACATGAAAGAAGAATTACTCGGAAGAAGAGGAACAGCATCGACTATGTCCTTAACTCTTAAAGAAGACGCAAACCATCTTACGAGCTGCCCGCTCCGCTTTTTCGTTAAACGGTCTTCCATCTTTTCTGTTGTGATTCAGAAAAGGAGGCCGATACTTCAACCACAGCTACAATTCTGCATCTCTCACAAACAGCGCTTGATCGGAGTCTTCTGATACCATCGAGCTTAATCGAAATATTTAGTTCAGTCGTACTAGTTTGAAAATCCAGCCAGAACAGTGCGTTGAAACACCTCCCATCTTCGACATTCAAGAACGAGAAGAACAGTGGTGTAGACTTCAATAGGATGCAAGCGTCCTTTAGGACTACCATCAGCAAGATGACCGGACGTGCTTATAGCTCTCGTCAACCAGTTGTATTCTCATCTGCTGACGATTTGTGTATTGCATAGAGGCCATCACCATGCTTCGAGCAGTTTTCTTGTGTACATCTACGATGATGACATGTTAATTAGTTTTTGCTCATTTAGATTATAAGTTGCACAGACATTATTACGGGACCTTGTTGTCCGAAACGATCATAATGTTACTGCAGGCCCCCTGTGAACAAAAGGAGCCTACAGAGCTTAAAAGAGATCGGGCATCAGGACCTCTTTTATTCAAGAAGTTTCAATAATTTAAGCGATCGTTGATCTCATTTCCGTTCGTTATTTACCACTGCGACGAAGCGGAAAGTTTTCTATGCGTCGATTAGAAAGACGTCAATGGGAAATGAGTTTATAATGACTTCAAGTGATGAATTTCCTTCTGAATTTATTTCATTCACAAATGTCCCACTCCGATTGGACATTTTGTAGAATTATAGCCGGTTCGATTATTTCTTTATATTTTATACAAACACATTACTACACATCTAATTTAATTCATATAGAGCAGCCTGCAGTTAAATAAACAAATCACCTTTACAACTTTAATTTAATATTTACTGCGCACTCTTCTTCATGGCAGGATATGTTGCAAAATATAACTTCAATGATGCTGAGATATTTGCAAAACTCCGGGCCGCATGTGTCTGCGGTGGGGAATGAACGCGCTATTACCTTTTCCGGGGCTTACGCGCTCACCAACACCGTTTATTTGTATGTTCTAAATATGCGCTTTAGTTCTTCTAAAATCGTTACTACTTTTCACGAGCTAGGAAACCTAAAGATGTCGATATTCGACAATTACAGCCCAGTGGGTTGGATGAGGTTCAGACTCGCCACTTTAATTCTAAACATATTAGTTGTGTTGCTTCAACTTGCTCTGATCATCTGCAATGGATTCCTTCTGTTCCTGATCACCAGGTAAGCCTGAGTATCACAGTGCATCGCTTTATTCGCTTCGTTCCTTGAGTGAATATTCCACAACACTAAAAATCTCTTCATGTAACAATCTTTCTCTAAAGGGAGAAGAGCCTCCGTCAAAACTACTCTCGGCTACTGCTGTTAATTCTCGGGAGCGATTTCTTTCACGCCTTGACGAGTAAGTTATTCTGCCTTCGGATTCAAATGGAAAGAAGCGTTGAAAATGATTGCATGCGCAGTTTCTCTTTTCAGCTCTTCCCTACATTATCTATCTCTTAAGTTCCTGGGATCCAGTATATTTCGATCTAGATCCACACTATGTAATGATCAGTAGCGCTCCTTTCATTGCTCAGCTGAAGATTAACCTCACGCTAACCATATCGATTGCTATGGAGAGAATATTGGTAAGACGCCTCTGAAAAATGTACTCTCGACAAGAGGACCTTTCAGGCCCTGTATTTCCCGGTCGCTTTCCGCATGCTGTCTTCTCGGTCGTATGCCATGTTTTGCGTGTTGTTCGGATTTTTCTTAGCAATATGGGATCTTGTCCTTGAGTTCTCACTCTCGCCGTCCAACCACTCTCCCAACTGTCTCTCTGTCGGTTGTTTTTTATGTGAGCAGTTTCGCTGGTATTGGGGAATCAGCAACATGGTGAGGTTTTTCTTTCTCAACACCGTCTACAAATTTTGTACATGCTCAGTTTTAGGTTATGGGTATTACAGTCATTATCCTGACGACTTTTATTCTTGTGAAACTGCGAGCCATTCGCCAGAAACCACAACCCATTGGGGCTGTAAAGCCAAGAGAGAAAAAGTTCAAGCAGGTAGTTCATGATTTTTTCCAGTATGGAAGAAGTTTTGCTGCTTATCGGTCAAATTGAGGCCAATCTTATTAGCACTGGGTTCCTTCTTATATCATTGGTATTTGTTACGATTCCAAGTGTTGGTGCTGGAATGGTTGAAATGATCGGCTTTTCTGTTTTCAAAGCCATTGGTTCTTTCTACATTTTTGGCTTACTCTGTGCAGGTGCTTCTTTGTGCGATTTTGAACAGTGTAATTACACTATCAAAATAAGCGTTCTGATTCTTTATTTTAGGCATACTTACCAGTGCTCTACTCCTTACTTTAAACGAGAAAGTGCGAGTAGTGGCGAAAACATATATCGCTGGAAGACGCCGATCACGTGTCGTTACTCTATCCGCTGCTAATGTCTTCTCAAATTTCGGCAGGCAACCTTACATAACTTATTAACAATGTTCTATTCTATACAAATTTTAAGAAAAAATGCTTTGTTTTGCGTAAACTTTGGTTGGATCGAATGTGGCCCATACAGAAGTGGTCCGCATGAGCGCACAATAAATAAGGCGAAATAAGGCATATCGGGAGGGTACAAGAACGTTGTGAAAAAATCGAAAAAGACTCAGTTCATAGATGACATCTCTGCAAGAAGAACGAACTGAGCTGATGACTTTTTCCACCGTAGCGGCTGCAGTTACTGCAACCTCAGGACCACAACTGGATACGTGCTGCTCAGCAGGGAAACAAGAAGGCTAGCAAAATAGTTTAGTGCGATTATGTTGAAACAATTATAGAAATAAGAGCACTGGGAAGACGTTGAAAAATGTAGAATCGGCCGATCGAATCATCTCTGGAACGTTCCTTTGTAAGACTCTTTTAATTCACAAAGACATTATGTTTCCATCTATTTTACTGTATGTATAACCCAATTTTCACACATTCTGAGTTCATTAGTTCCTTCTTTCTTTTGATTGTATTGATCCTACATCGGACCAGATCGGATTTGCAAAGAGTTTGATTGCAAGTTTAAGATTTTGTCATATTGCAAACATGAATCTTGCTGGACTCTAGAGATATTCCCAGACCTTCACCATGGCAATCATACACCAGCCTCTGCGAGTCGAAGAAGACTTTCGCATACAAGTGTGATACCGATATACCGACCACACAAAAATGGAGGCCCCAGTGGAGATCAAACCATTATCATGTGTGTACTGCAGGATACCTCTAACATTGCGCAACACGTGATCTATGGTGGCCCTTTACGACCAAAAGCTTGTACGCTTTCAGTTGTTTAAAAGTTAGCGCATCTGAAAAAATAATGAGCCCGTAATTATTAGTGTCTTTTCTGCTGTTTCCTATAACGGAATTGTACTGTTTTTCATTTATATTTGTATAATCACTCCTAATGTTGTAATAAATTTCTGAGTTTGCTTCCTTTATTTATAATGGCGTAGTCTACTATAAGCAGGGGCTGTACTCATTTCATTGAATGGCTCATCTTTCGAAGAAATCCAAACGTCCAGAACATTGTTCGCTTTCTTGGCTTAATAATTCTTTCTACTTCTGTTCAGCAGACACGACGTATCATATTATTTTTTCATTTACGTACAAGCTGACGTTTCGGCGGATTTCGCCTCCCTCAGAGCCTGGGAAGGTCAAGTTGACACCAATCTATTCGGCCAAACACCTCCATAACCAAGCAGAGAAAACGCTAAACCAGGATTTCAATCACATTTAGCACCGCTCTGCACACTCACCACTTTCTATCAGTCTTCCACTGAGCATGTAGCGTGAAGACCAACCGCACAGAATTCACATGGAAGCGTAATGTGCCCCTCCTATCAGAATAACAGGTTTATATACTGTCCAATATCACACGTGATAATGAAGCATTCTTCCCTGCGGTTCATTTTCGGATTTCTGGCATTAATCCAGAACACCTCGAGAGTTTTGCGCGCTTGTGCTCTTGATTCCTGTGCGAGGATCGTAACACGTACTACAAAGTCCTCCCCGTTATGTCTCTGGGTCCCATGCGTGCCAGGCGGGGTATTTGGTTTATATTTGCCGGCTGGGTGTTCTTTTATGTGGACACAGAGTGGTCTACCCGCTTTGCCAATGTATTCGTCTCCGCACGCCTTACAGGAGATCAGATAAACTGTACCCGAGCTCATGCAATCACTGTCTCTACCATTAGGGTAAATTATGCAATTTTGTATTGCACATAGACGGTCATATAGGCGGTTACGAACTAGCTGGCGCCTCAGTGTACTCGGTGGCATTTCAACTATGTTTACCGAATTCTCTTGACCCGCCTTTCTTAAGCAGCGTTTCATAGTTGCACTTACATCATTTGAGATGAAGGGTAGGATAAACAGGACCTTTTTATTGTTAGAGTTGTCGTTTGGGGGTCTAGGATTTTTCCTACACGTATCCTCCAAGCTACAGTTTCCTAGCCATTAGAAATGGCTATTTGTCGCTCCAATTTCCGGAACTCCTCTCTCTGCTCTCTTCCCGTGCACACATTGGTTGCTGTTCGAAACATGTTTCTTACAAGCGCTCTTTTCGTGTGAGAGGGTTGAGAAGAGAGGTAATGTACCAAGATGTTTTTACTACTTGACTTTCGGTACCACTTCGTAATGTAGCCATTTTCTGGCAAGTTAATTTTGACATTCAGGAACGTCTTGAACGATAACGTTTGTTAACCTTTTAACGTGTGCACGGGAAGAGAGCAGAGAGAGGAGTCCCGGAAATTGGGGCGACAAATAGCCATTTCCAATGGATACGAAACTGTAGCTCGGGATAGGTGTAGGAAATCGAAGGCACCCGAACGACAACTCTAGCGATAAAAAGGTCCCGTTTATCCTACACTTCATCTCAAATGATGTAAGTGCAGCTGTAAAACGCTGCTTAAGAAGGACTTGAAAACATGCCGCTTGAATCCACACAATATGTTAAGCAACATGAACTCCTGCGTGCTTGGGTGGAACTGAACGCTAAACTTTTGGAAGCGATGGACAGTTTGGTGGACGTTCTCTGCAGCAGATTTGTTGTTGAATTTAATCTCCGATTTGCTCTTCTATTTTCCACGTAACTGTTTTAGTAGTATGTCTTGAAAATTATGTAACGATTATTGACACCCCACCCAATACCCTACGCCGCCAGTTAGTTCGAAACCGTCTCTATGATCGTTTGTGCAGCTCAGAAAACTGTATGATCTGTCCCAACGGGCGAGACGGGGATTGCATGAGTTTGGGTATAATATACTTGATCTCATGTAATGCATGCGGCGAAGAATATATTAGGGAAACGGGTAGACCACTTTGTGTCCGCATGAAAGAACATCTAGATGGAAAAGCTATAATCCGTTTAAACACCCCTCTAGGTACGCATAGGGCACAAAAGCACAACGGCGATGATCTTGAAGTGAATGTGCGGATCCTAGCGCAGGAATCAAAAACATCAACGCGCAAAACTCTTGAGGCGTTTTGGATAAATTTCAAAAATCCAGAGACGAACCGGAAGGACGAATGCCTCACCGTCACGCTCATGATATTTTGACCCCGGGGCGTGTCTTGCTCGCGACTCCACGTGAACATCGTGTGGGCCAGTCCCGCACGTAACATCACGGTGAGTGGACTTTCTGTTCAATATGGCGTCTATTTGAAAGTTTGATCTTCATTAATATTTTAATCTTTTTTCAACCGAATTATAAAAATATTCTAGTATAAAATATGTCCAGGTTCTGAGGAAGGTGGAGTCGCCGAAACGTCAGCCATTGACCAACAACATCAAAAACAACGACAACGACAACGACAACGAAGACCTGTATGAACCTCGCATCAATTTAAGAGCATCAGTATATAAGATCATATAAATAAATATATCAATTGTCTATGCAGAGCTCTGTAGAAAGTCGGTTTTTTGAGTTGTTTTAGCAGTAGTTCTTCTCGAATGCTGTGCTGTTTCAAGGCTCATTACATGCACTTTCACTCCGCCCACTGAACAGTAGTATCGGCTGGATTCGAGAAAAAACATTAATTGTGTTATACCTTTTTATTTTCTGCCTACTATAATTTCGCAGCAGGGTACTAAGCGAAATATAACCACAACGTTGCTGTGATATTTGCAATACTCTGGACCGCAGGTGTCTATGGTGGGGAACGAACGCGTTATTGTCCTTTCCGGGGAGTAACGCGTTCACCACCACACCATGCGGGTCCTTGTTTCGCCTGTCTCTCAGCTATTTCTATCGATCTTTGCCACAGCAATATTAATTGTGTTTTCGCGAAATTTTAAAAGGCTTGAATTTCAGGTGTCGAACAGCAATTCCGGTGAATCTGTTTTTACTAATTTTTCTACTATGAACATTTTCAAATTACCAGTACTTTTATGAATATGGAATTCAAACGTGAATATACATTAATAAGGTATTATATTGTGACCGTATTGTGACGTGCGATCAGAACTGGATCCTATACAACAAGCGGCGATTATCAGCTCGGTTACTGGACCCTGATGAAACTCCGCAGGGTTTAAGAAATCCGAAATAGCACGAGAAAAAAGCTACATTGAACATTTGATGGCTTGCTGCTAGTTTAATTCATCACGGCTTCCTCAATCGAAGTGAAACGGTTCGAGGTACGTTCAGCGATTCGACAAAAAGCACCAGGAGCTACAACTGCTGCGCTCCGCATTGGCCGCAGAAAGGCACCAGTCCTTCCGCACGACTATGCTCCCCGACACTTCTTACAACTGAAGCGGTAGAGAGTGAGAGTCCAGTCTTATCACAATTTCCTATATGAAGAATGCTTCAGAAACCAAGCAGAGGCCCTCAAATGTCATCATCGCATTCGGAGGTCAAAGATTTTATCCAAATGGTATAAATGACCTCGTTTTTCAGTAATTTTTTACATGATTGAGATGAGAGGAAGATAATATTAAAAAAATTCCATTTAGCTAACGTTTCGCTGCCTTCGCCTTCTTCAGAGCCTCGTTGATACAAGTCGGTAGTCCACAGCTGGTCATTGTCGCGGGAGCACCACTCTGGTGGTAACTCACTCAATGGTGTCCTTTTATCGCAAATGGGTTTTGGTCGACTACCGCCATTCAAGAGGATCTGTTTTTGGAAGCGCAATGCTTCCTGTAGGAGTAAGTACTTAGAACTCGTTTCTCGTTAATCGGAGAAATTCTGATACTTTTTTCCATCCACTGAAGTTTAATAATTCAAAAGACCGACGTTTTCGAAATCTTGGCATAAGCAATCGATATATCCATTGATATGTTCTTATAAACTAATCTTGTTGAGCTGATGCGAGGTTTATACGTTATCGTTGTTGGTGTCGTCGTTGTTGTTGTTGGTCGATGGGTGACGTTTTGGCGATTTCGCCTTCTTCGGAGCAGTGCTGTT